TGTTCTCATTACCATGTGCATGGACTGCCATGGAGCAAGATCCGTATGTTCCCCAAATCACCAATCAGCCCAAAGTCCCCATCTATGGTAAGCATATGGGTCATTGGGTGTTGCCTGAATTACCCCAGGCATTTAGATTTTCTGTCAACTTGAGGCCCACTCAAGTTAGTTAGGAACAACAATACGAGCATGGCTTTTTAGAGAGCCTAGGGGGTAGCCTTTTCCAATCTGGCACTTCCCCCACACAGATATGTTGTACAACTCCCATCATCCCCAGCCATCATGACTGGCTGCCGTTGATGAGGATGTAGTCTAACCCAGCTACTGGTTTGGGAAAAGCTGATGTGAGTCTGGTGATAATAAGCTTTTTCATACGTCTTGTGAGGTCTTCTAGACCTGCAGTCTAGTGTTGGTCTAAGCACAGTTACTTCCAGTCCTTTTCGTAAGCAATAGAACTTTGCTCAAAATACAGCAATTACGGAAAATGCTACAAAATGGGAATGAGAAAGCCTCAAGCACTTACGCTCACAGAAGACCTCTGCCTATCTGGTTGATGAGCCACTGGGGGAAATGTCACAATAGACGACATGTCACAGTCACCTTGGCAACCTGGGCATTATTCCTCTTAATCTTGCCTTGGGTTCCCTCTGCCCCTTTTATTACTTTCACCTCATTTGACCTGTTGTGTATTACAATTGTGAGTGTTTTCAGTTCAAGTCTGATTTGCTCAGGCTCCTTCTATGCCTAACATTCCCAAACCACTTACTCCAACATTTACTCTCCCAAGAGGTCATCCCTGTCCTCTCCCTTTTCAGAAAAGCCTGTGGAATTAATTGTGTGTGTGTGTATGTTTGGGGGAAGGGATTTTTGGTTTATAATGTCTTTATCTAAGGATATTTTACCCTAATGCTCCAGGCCACAGTTGCCCTGCATCAACCTATGAACTTGATTGCTTGTTCTTGATTAAAAATTAGCAATTGCAAAATAAAAAATAAGGTAAAGTATCCCAAATACTATTAACAAGCTTCTATGTAAGTTTGCTAATTGTTTATCTACTTTTGATTTTGTTACAGAATTAACATCTGAGCTCAAGGCCAAGATTTTTTCTTTCTGATTTTTCTGCTACGTAAACCTCTCGGTGGTGCGCTACAGCAGAATATTGCAATTGCACAGGAAGAAAAACCCCTTTTGTTTTCATAAATAATACCTCAGTTATCTGAGGTATCAGATCTGAGGTTATCAGTTAACTGAGGTATCTCAGTTATCTCAGTATTGTCTAATGAACCAATATACAACTGTGAGTAAGAATTCAAGAGTGCACAAAAATGCTTCATATGGAAAACCTGCAAAACAATACAATCCCTAAATAGGGTTGCCACCTGGGAGACGTCCATAACAAGAGGAAATGTGTCATCAAAATAGAGGAGGAAAGAGTTGCATAGTATTTGCATATGCTAATTTATAGTTAATTTAATTTATGCACATTTGGAGATAGTTTAAATAGAAATACAATATATTTCACTGTAGTGTTGAAGGCTGTGTACAGGTGACTTCTGTTGCCTACCTGTTTGGTGTGCTGTCTAGATAGTACTTGATGGTGGGCAATGCTTCTTCTGGTTCATTATCTCTAAACAGAGAACTTAAGCTGTGGGGCAATACCAAAATGAAATAAATAATAATGAATAGCAATACACCAGAAATGGACAAGGCTTCCCTTTACAACAGAGGGTGGCCCTCCAGCAACCCTTCAAGCAGAGAACTCTCTTGTCTGTGAAAGATCAAACATGGCCAAGCTCTCTGATGTCAATAGCATGTACTTCCTTCCCCAGTGCATACAGAGATTGCTTGCATATGTATAAATTCACAGGAACAGATGTGAGGTCCTGCTGGACAGGAAAAAGCAACAACGTGTGATATGTATGCCAGGGAAGGAAAAAAAGTTCCTCTCCCACGCCGCCCCATGGTGGCCAATCTGCCCCTTCACTCGTCCTCTTCATCCCTCTTTGTATTGTTTGGTCACACACTAAATCACAGCATCCTAGGCTGCCGTCAAGGATCTTTTTGCACTCTTTTTTCAAGCAACAGCTCCATTTCTTTGTTAATGCCAGGCTTGTTTGCTCAGAAATACGCTCTGTGTTTTCACAGCAGGGGCTATTTCTGCTGTCCTGCAGTTCTAAGAACTTTCCTTGGACATGTGACCTCCTCCTAACAGAGGATGGTGATAAAGTTATCAACATTTGAGGCAGGGGCCGTCATAATGCAGTTCTGCTTTCCTCACTGTACTAATACAGAATACAAGACCAATGTCTTGATGCATATGCAGGCTGTTAACATTAATGATATACTTTACTGTGTGCAGGAGAACTGTCACATCCTTTTTGTCAGCTTTGAAGAGCATTGGATGACAAGGGTGTTCTTCTGACTGCTTTCCACTGAAATGGTTTGTTTAGGAAACGGGTAGGCATTTGGTTTGTACTGCCACTCCCACTGCCCCTGAACACTGGTTGTGCTGGCTGGGGTTGATAGGAGCTGAGGGTTGATAGCCCTGAATTAGGGGATTGCCAGCATTTGAGCTGCTTGCACAACCACACTGAACAAATGTAACTTTAGGTGGTCTCTCCTCTTCCAGATCCCACAGCCTAGTTTCCATTAGCACAGCGTCATTTGTGCTAGCAGAATGACTGTGAGATGCTGCCCACAGTTCTGCCATTAAGCTCTTGGTAACCTCATGGTGATCTGTGAGGAAAACTCTCCTATTTTAAATGCTTCTCAGTCACTTCAGCAAGATGTCAATCTGCCTGCACATCCAAAAATGCATAGTTGATTGTCTTGATATTTGGCAAAGTAAGACTAACCTTTTCTTATGAAGTTAGTGTCAAATATGAAAATAAAGATGACACACCCCAGAGTCAAGGCATAGAGGACACAAATCGCACAAAATGAAAGCCAGAAAAGACTAGCAAGCAAAATAGGCACACACAGGGAAACGTGTGAGGAGAGAAGCTGGGAGAGAGTAACACCATTTTGTCACTATATTCTATCACAATGAGAAATAAATCAGTTAATGGATTTTGCTATATCTTAGTGGACATTATGGCTCCCATACTTTATTAGCAGATAGGAAGAGGAAAATTTGGCTTAGGAGTCAGAAGTGAAGCAGGAGAATAACTCATGGAAATCTGTGAAGCCAACAATTTATTGCAAATACATACTTCAAGCAATGGATAAAATGACTGTATGCATGAACATCACCACATGGTCAATATAGAAAAAATAGACTATATAATTGGAATCAAGAGATGGAGAAGCTGTATTCTCACTGTCAAAAGACCAGGAGCAGACTGTGGTAGTGACCTTGAACTATTAGTATCCAAAATCATTGCAAAGCTGGGAAAAAACCACGCTAACAGAAGCAAAGTGCAACAGGAGGATGTGGATCCTTTCCCCCTTTCTCCAACCTTGTACTCATGATCTTAAAATTCCTGGCCCTCACTTTTCTCTTTCGGTGGTATAGGCTGCTGTGTGCTGAGGATTCAAAAGACTGTTCTGCTCTGGCAACCCCTGGCCAACTCCAGTACCCAGTGCCCACGGAAAAGCAGGGCGGGGGAGGCCTCCCAAGGCCCTGCACCCCTCCAGACCCAAGACTCTGTAGGACATGCGACACCTGCTGGCTGCCTTCAGCAGGGAGGAGGTGGGCGCCAAGCTAACACTCAGCCCAGACTTAGGGCTGCCACCCGGCACTGTTGAGAAGGCAGTGGCAGAACCTGAGAAAAGGTTGATCCTCCCAATTTCTGGTGCTGTCTTTGCTGGCTTTGGTTCTGCCCACCAGCAGATTTCCTGTGGAAGGAGAAGGCAACATGGAGCCTTCCTTATGTTTTGGACCACAACTCCCATAAACCTGAGCCAAAACATCTGGTCCAGTTCCTTCATTCAAGCTTTGCTTGCTGTGTCCATGGATTGAACTGCATGCTTGAGATCAACTCCAAGAGACACGGAGGAAGGAAGACATCAAGATGCTAACTTAAGTGTATGTTTGTGTGCATGACATGCATGCATGAACATATGTGCATGCTGGGACCAGAAGATTTGAATGGGTAGCACCAGTTTTGGTCCCCTTACATTTGCTGTCCATATGCTTCCAAGCTGGCATTAGGTGATAAAGTCTTACACTGGAACCAGAGTACCAAACAGAGCACTTTTCCCAGCCACAAGTTTTCTAGGCCACCATGCTGTGATCAGTGTCTGAGGCATCCACTGAATGCCACCTTGGGGGGGAAGACGCAGAGGGTAACAATAAAGGAGAAGGGCTTCTCCGTGGTGGCCCCTGGCTGTGGACCGATCTCCCCACTGCAGCCAGCCTGGCACCGACTCTGTCTCAGCCACCAGGTCAAGACCGCCATTTTCTCCCAGGCGTTTCACTGAACGTTGTTTCACAGATCTAAGGTTTGTAACAAAACTGTTTTCGCTGTTATATTGGTTTTGAATGTTGTATCTCGGGGAGGAATTATGCCATTGCGTTTCTACGGACGGCTGTCAAGCGCCGCCCTTACGGGACTGCATAGAAATGCATGAACAAAAAAACCATTTCCAAGAGCGCATCCTCAGCCCACGCGTCCCAGCCAAGAGGGGCAGCCGGCGGCGGCCGAGCGCGAGGAGGGGCGCCCCGAGCGAGCGGGGCCAACGCGGCTGCAGCGGGCGGCGCTGTCGCCGCCCGGGGCCGCCGCTCGCAGCCAGGGGGCGGAGCCTGGCGCGGAGCCTCTCCGGGGGAGCTCGCGCGCTCGCTGCCTCGCTCGCGGCCGCCAGCGCCGCGCTACGTTGTCTCCTGCGCGTCTTTCCCGGGCGAGCGAGGGGCGGGGACAGCCCGCAGGCTCTCCGAGGCAGGTGGCCGCGCCCCCGTGCCCTGAAAAGGAGGCGGCGGAGGCGGGCGCGCTCGTGGCCGCTTCTCCCGGAGCAGCCGCGGCGGTTGTTGCCAGACGGCGCTCGCCGTGCGCGTGCGGCCTTTGCCTGCCGGAGGCGATTTCGGCGGCGGCGCCTTCCTCTCCGCTCCCGCTGCCTCGGCCGGGGTTCCTCGCCCGCTGCTCCGCCTCCGACCATGTCTGCAGCCGGGGGCAACGGGGCGGGGACTCCCAAGGCGCTGCCTTCCTCCGGACCCAAGTCTCTGCGGGACATGCCGCACCCGCTGGCCGCCTCTAGCAGCGAGGAAGCGGGCGCCGAGCTGACGCCTAGCCCGGACCTCCAGCTTCCGCGCAGCATCGCCGAGAAGGTACTGGCGGCTGAAGCAGCCCTCGTTCCGGGGCCCTGCGAGCAGGAGCGGGGTTGGCTCGGAGAGAGGCGGGGGATGCGGCCGCGACGGGCGGCGAGAGCGGGCTGAGTGCTCCGCCAGAGCTTGGGCGTCTTCTGGGCTTAGCTCGCTCACGGACTGTGCCTGGACGTGGCCCGACCGAGCGTCCCCCTGGCTTCGTGGCCATGCGAAGCGAAAGGGGCGCAGGAGGAAGGCGAGCAGTTCCATACGACTTGCTCCTTGGGCAAGAGGGTGCGGAGGCGGGCGGCTCTGGGATTCATTGCGGGGGGGACTCCTTTCTACTGCTGATCCTAGATGCATCTCCTCTTCGTCGCACGTATATTCTGATTTCCTCGGGGCCGGGGATCTTTTTCGACTCCCTCCCTCTCTCCCTTCGTGTGTGTGTTTCACTGTTTTTGTTTAATTTGGTGCTGGCTTTTAAAGTGCCACTTTTCTAGGCGGGTCATAAAAAGAGTATGTTTACTCGCGCTGTGGGATACCCGCCAATCGGTCACCCCCCCTCCCCACGCCCCCGTGCATTGGGAACACTTGTGCCGAGTTCTGGCATCTGGCAGTCTTGCAGCAGGAGCCTGTATATGGACTGGACATTGTGAGTGTGGCGAACACTCTCCGGATCAATGCCAAGCTTTTGCCTTACACACCAGCTTGAGTGAACAGGTGTGTGTGTATGTGACTTCTGGTTTCATTTTATTTGTGAGTTCTTTCTATTCTACCCGTTAAGGGAAGCCATCACAAGGCAATAGGATTAATTAAGAAATCAGTATGGGGGTCATAAATCCTTCTTTGTTGGGAAAGGTTTGGGGACAATATATCAATTGCTCCTTCTTTTGTTTTTTCTTTTTCCCTTTGCTTTGCTTCCCAACCAAGCTGCAGCTCATTGAACTTCTGCCTGCACTAGGAGGCTTGAAGAGGCAAGAAATGAGCAGTGGCTTTAATAATAGTCTTTGCTAGCTGAAAGTAAATGGCCTTCATCTATCCTAGAAGCTGGATTTGGTGCTCAGTTATCTAGGCCAGCCTTTTCCAATCTGGTGCCCTCCAGATCTGCTGGAGTACAATAATTCTTGGAAACGATGGGACATGCAAAGAAACAGTGCAACATGTAAAATCCAGATTAATAAAACAGATCAGAAGACCTGATCATGTAACACAATTTCTGGCCTGCTGGCATGGTCTGTTTCTAATTCAGGGAGCTGGTTTTAACTTAGAAAGCTGTACGTGGTTCAGAACCACAAGATCTGACGGAGTGCCTCTTCAGGCATGAGCCAAACCAGACACCATGATCTGCATCTGAGGCCTTTGCCTGAGTGGCAAGGAGGGAGAAGGTCTTCTCGCTGATTCCTGTTCCCCCACCCCAGTTATGGAACTGTCTCCCCACTGAGGCTTGCCTGGCACCAAAACTGTCACCCTTATGGGCAAATGTAAGATTTCCCTTCATCCCAAACATCTGACTGTATATGATGGTGCATGTGTGCCAGTTACTTCTATCCAGTGCAGCATCTTTTTGGTACAGTTACAGCTCTTTAAGGGTGCGGTCGTGTGACATCTCGGTGCTGTTGGATCACCATAGGAGAGCGTGAGGTTCCAACTCTGACCTCGGAAGTGGATTCTGAGCAGGGAGTGACTTTCCAACACCCTCACACAATATTTTCCATGCCGTAGTAGTTCCAAAGATGCAAGTGCGACTTGGGGCTCCACATGTGGGGTTGCTTCGGGGGCAGAGGGGGAACAAGTGAGATTTCACTGGGGTACAGTGTACCACAGCGTTGCCTCAGCCCTTCCTCCTCACAAGCAGGGGCAAAAGAGACAAATTGCTGAAACCAGCCAGCTGTTCCTTTTGCAGGTTAAGGGAAGTGTGGAAGTGGTCTGCGCACCTCCATGCTTCTCACATCCTTGACTGGATGCTGGCGGTCCTCTGAGTTTGAGGGGGTTATGGACAGCCACATTGCATGGCGCCCTGAATTGACTTTTTGTAAGCTGTCCTGATGCTTGGGCCTTCTTACTAAACACTCCAGTTATTAACCTAGTTCTCATGCTAACATTGAGGTAGTTGACTTTGGGTATGCGAGCTAATGTAAGATACAGACTTTGGTTCCAGGCATTGTTAGCATCCTGTATTTGGCAAGAGGTGAGTTTTCCTGTATTAACTACTCTTTTTTGGCAAGTGTGTAGCTTCTGTTGTATAACAGCCTATTTGGTGTTCAAGTGAATAGTGGCATAACGGTAGTTTAGAGTGGGAGTACTCATAGAGAACTAGTCTTGCTCACTGCAAGAGTCCCTAGTTTTCTGCCCTAACTTGTCATACCTGTCATACCTCACTTTAGAAGGTGAAACAGTCTGGATTCCTTGATTTGAGTTCTGCATCTCACTCCTGTGTTTGCCATTGAATGGTAGAATGCATGAAGTTGTTCCTATAAATGCAACAGTTCCTAGAGGTATAGTCGTATGCATGTGCAGACAGGAAAAAGTCCTCTGGTCCATGCTGGTTGGAGGATACTGGGAATTGTGGGACATTTTCTTCTGTTTAAATATGCATAGAATTACATCCTAACCTGTTTCTTGAAGTCTTCTGAGGTTGCTTAAAATGGCATGTAATTTGCAATATAATAAACCATGAAAAAAGTGCAATATTACTAACAAACTGCCAATTTAAAATTAAGCTGGCTTAAATACAGTGCAATTCAAAATACAGTCTAGCCCAAAAAAGCTTAAGTAAGCCTAACAGGAAAGCAGCAAAGAGCTTTACAGGTGGTACTATTCAGAGAAATAATGTGCGGAGGTGATTCTTGGTTTGTTGCGTCTGGTTGCTGGTGGATGCAGCAAGTGAACCAAGCAACGGATAAGTTCTGGCTTGGGGCCTTTCTAGAAGCTGGAGGGGGCACTGAAAAACAGGTGCTAGAGCAGAGCAGTGTTTTCAGCCTTTCCACAGCTGGGGACTGGTGAAAACAGGAAAACCACCTTATGGACTGCTGAGGCAGAAAGAAAAAGCACCATACACACAATACAGTATTTTGTGTATTAGTTTCCAAACACAATACCAAAAAAATGAAAATTCTCCAAAACAACCAGAAACCGAGCAACAAAAAATACCAACAAAAGAACAAAATACGGGAATCAGCACAGTGTTGCTCCCAGCCAAGGCGTCTCTCCCCTCCCTGTCCCACCCCAGTGGCACCAGTGCCGCCCCCCCCCCCCCCCCGGTGAATGTGATGCCAACCGAGGAAGAGATGGGGGAGCAAAGCCAGCCCACGCACTGGTGAGTGGGAAGCATCCCCCCCCCCACAGACTAAGAGAAAATCACGTGCGGACTGGTGTTGGTCCATGGACTGGCGCCTGAAAACCACTGCTGTAGAGGACCCATCTAAACTCATGCGAACGCTCTACTGTGTGTTGAGGACGAAGGCAAAACTCTTCAATTCTGCCACGGGTGACAGCTGCATGTGGTAATCAAGCAACAGGAGGTTCACACAATCCACACATTCCACATGGTACAACATCATGTAATTAACTGCCCATGAGGCATCCATTGTGTTCTCCAGGTGTATTAACAAACGGTAGATGTCCTTTCCTTACACCTTGACTGTGTGCTGACAGGCATGCTGAATTTCTTAGTGCTGACTTGCCTCTTCTGCAGGAAGTCGGGGAATTTTACTTTCCCCGCTCTTGGGCAACTAACTTGCTTTCCAAAGGAACCTTACGTGTTTGTTACCATTGAAATCCCTGCACACTCCTAGTGATGTAACTTAAAACTTATTGCTTCAAGCAGTTTTTTTCCCTTCAGGCTTCATCTTGGGATCCACAATTTGCTCCTTTAAACACAATCTTGGTGATGTTGCTGTTGAAGTGTCCTTGTCAAAGGCTGATAGGACTTGTGACCCTCCAGATAGTTTGGCCTACAAGTTGCCCACCATGATCTAGAGTTTTTGGTATTAAATGGCTTGGAAATAATATGTCAGCCCTATACTTATAGTTTAATGTCAGATGTTCCTCTTTCTTCTCGATAGACCCGAGCCTTGATGAAACAGGACTTTGAATTAAGCCCTGGTCAAATTAATCTCTATTTCCTCCTGTCTGGAAGAATTACTGAAATCTTTGCTCTTTGAAATTAATCTGCAAGCTTAACAAGGGTACCTTTCTACTGAGGCCTTCATAAAAAAGTGTTTATTTTATTTATTAATTAAAACATTTCTATGCCACCCCTTGCCGAAGCCTCGGGGCGGCTCACAACGTACAATAAAATGCACAATAAATTAAAACAATAACAATTAAAATATATATATTAGAATAAAATAAGCCGCCCTGGCCAAATAAAATTTCCATGGTATTAACATTTAAAATGCAGCTTAAATAAAAAGGACCTTTTCCTGGGATATGCTATGCTAGTCGCAAAGTCGAGTCCAGCTTTGGATCTACATCTTTGTTCAAAATGCTTGAGGATGGTGTAGCTTCAGAAAGAAGCAGCGCTCAGTCCTTTTGATGCTGACATGTTTGTTCATTGTATATAATCCCACCTTTTTTTCCTGCAAAATACCCAAGATGGCTTACAAAAATCTTTCTCCTGTCCATTGTTATTTTCAAACCGCCTCGTGAGATAGATAAAGCTGAGAGTCAATGGCTGGCCCAAAGTCACCCAGTGAGCTTCATGACCAAATGAGGACTAGATCCTGGATCTTTAGAGTCCCAGTCCAGTAATTTAAGCACAGTACCACATTAGCTTTATATTCATGGCCTTTATCTGCTAAGAATCAGAACTAGGGTTGTTTCATTTCTGTGGTCATGGAAGGCTTTGGAACTTGGGATTCAGTAACTGGGCTGCTCAGAAAGGTTTGTATTCCAAGAGCCCTTGTATAATGGCAGAATGCAGCTCACTGTTTAGAATCTGAGTTCTCTCCACTTGAGTAGTATGTGGGTGTGTGATCCTTGAAGGCATCTCCTCTCTAACTAATAGCTATCCAGTTTGGACT